GTGTACAGTCAATTCTGATTTACGGTTGCGAGACCCTAGATATGCGCTTAGAAGATATTCGTTCTGCGACTGCCGATGTTTACGTAGTTTGGCGTGAGTTGGATGGAACGAGCGTGTAAGCAACTTTAAGCCAAATTTAAACGTATTTGGTAATGATTCGATGGAGAATTCGTTTCCCCATCATATTCGGATTGGTCGGATTCGCTGGTTAGGACATATATATCGCTTAATTTACCTTTTATCCTAATGAACATTTCCAACTTCCTTTTTCTCTTTTCAGAGCTTCCGTGTGTTTTGCACAATATCGGTCTCACTGATTGCAGAGGCTGTGCTATTGGATGAACAATTTTTTTTGTATACCACTTGTCACACACAAACTCCATCGTTTCTAATGGCACCATTTTTTTCATGCTCACGTTTATTATTTCAGTCGTCTATCGCCTTCCAAATTTACTTTTTGACTTACTCAATTTCGTGTTTGTCTTGTTCTTTACTGGGCAGGGTAACATGAGTGGAAGTACGGCCTATTAGTCAGCTTTTATAGACAGGAGTCAAGTAACTGTGGAGCGCATCGCTTTTCCACTGCTCTTATGGGTTGTGGCATACGCATTGTCACAGTTTAGTGCCGCAAAACATACTATCACTTGATCCTACTACTGTTCGTGAAGTGCTTGCCTCGGTAAGATTGATTCGTTGTGACCAGAAGGATTGTACGAGCATGCCAATGATTGTTCCGGTTCTCACAAAGATCAATATTGATTGTGCAAGATTACGACNCGACCGCCGATATTGTGATTGCTCGGCGCTAAATGATTGAGCTTTATTGTCCATATGCGATTGGCCGGTTCTCTTTTAACTTAAGGGGTTGGATCGAATACATTCACGTACTAGGCTCTGGTAAATGGCATTGCATTGATAAATACCGAGCCGAAAAGATTGATAAATAGAATGTACTTGTAAATGCTCTATATGTTCAGTTGGATCAGGAAAGAGGGCGGGGGTGGAGGTGGGGGGAGAAGAAATAGTCTTGTGGTTCCTCAAGTTTTTTATACGAGATGATTTGCTAATCACACTTGGCTAGTAGTCGAGTGGCGTTTGCCAGACTATCTCATCTGCCGATCCGTGGGAGATGTTATGGAATCCTCCCACAGAACCGGAAGCACGGTTTTTATTCGACCTTGCACAAGAAGAGAAACTGCACTTCGGCGGGCTTCCTATCACTTTTCACGATAGGTACGAAGGCCTCGTAAACTCTATTACTGATTTTCTGAATAACACCTGGTTGCAGGAGCTCATTCCATCATAGGACGAATCACTGACCGTTCCAATCTCAAGAAAAAACCATGCAACGGCTGCGTGAACCCCCAATCTTCATCAGATTATCATGTCTCAACGTCCGACTCCTTTAAAAGGGACTAATATTGGTTCAAAGCAGGCAGAATTCCAACCAGGTCGAGGTGGTACCGACCAAATATTGACGTTGTGTCAAATCCTTGAGTTGGGACGCACGCATCGTCTGCCAATGATCGTAATTTTCCTTGTCTTAAAGGAAGTCATCGCCTTAGTTGACCACGATGCCGCAATTGATATTTTCTTTTCGAAGGGATGCCACAGAAGTAAGTAAACATATTGGGCTCACCGTATTCGTATAGCTTTGATAGCCTACAGGTCTACGACGAGCTAAACAGATCGTTGGAAACCAGCAACGGTGTTCGTCGAGAGTCCTATTTCGTCATGGATGAAATAGGGGAGCGTGCACTAAGTGGTCTCCAAAATGTTAGTGTGGAATAAGTAGCTGGAGAAAAGCAGTGCGACCTGGAGTACGCTGACGACGTCGATGGCCTGTTCGAATGTATGGAGGATGCACAAAACGCACTTTACAGATTACCAAGTTCTGTTGCTACGCTCGGTATGTGTTTTGCACCTTCGTAGTGCAGTGCCGCTGCAAGACTGGCTGTTGCCGAGTTCCTCTCTGAAACTAGATTGTCGGGATTCGTTGAAGTTGACTACTTCTCGTACTTTGGTGACTACGTGACCAACGACGGTGGCCCATTCAAGGACATAACCGTCCACATTTCCAAGGCACGAGCAGCGTGGTCAGAACTTGAACTCTTGTGGCGACGGTGATGCGTTTCACTGAAGTTGAAAAGTTGTGTGTACTGCTCCACTGTACGATCAGTGCTGCTTTGAGAACTTGAATTTGCAGATAGAAGAGCCGCCACCTAGTGGTCTTCGACAATCGATGCTTATGTAGTCTGGTGGAGGTGGGGATGGAGTGAGCTGGTTGGTAACCTAGAAGTAAGTCGTCGGGTTTTGGGGAATGCATCGAACACGTGCTCGCTACAGCATCAAATTCAGCTCCTTTGGTTTGAACACGTTCGCGTATATTTTACGGTCGTCTACCACAGCGCTTCTTACTTTCAGTGGCCTATACAGACTGGTGAAACCCACGTGGTGGCAAGGCGTCCAATAAATTGAGAAAAACACGATTGCCACTGTTTACGACACGGTCACATCACTCATTGTCTGTGTGCTATCACTTATATTTATCCCGAGTTCCCCGTGCAGAAAGTCCATGTGATCAAATCTCTTGGTTAGGGTTTTCATCCTCCTCATTTCTGTCTCGCAAAATGTCGTACGCCGCAGCGGTTTGTCTAGCTTCATCGTATTATATCCCCCAGCTAATGTGATCAATGGAGGTAGAGCATTTGCTTCAGTGGGCGACCGCGATAATCTATGTTCAGTATCGCTTTATCGGTGACCCGTCAAACTCTCGTAATGCATCGTAGACTGTAATAGTCGAAAATCTTCAGCCTGTATTCCATCCCCGTAAAGGCCAAGTGCGTGCGCCATGATGTCAATGAAATTGATTCAAGAAAGTTGGATAGCAGCATGATCACCGCTGTGTGTGATTGTCACCAATACCCCTGATCCTTGATTACACTGGTTCC